ATTTTAAATAAAAAGACGCGTTGAAACGTGTTTTTTTTTTAAGCGAACATGTTTTCGCTCGACTTTTTGCGTATTTTTATAGTTTTTTTGTGTTCAGACGCGTTTTTTCTAATGCTAAAGCAGTTTTTTCTAAACGCTAAAAGCAGTTTTCATTCGAATAAATGAAACGCCGTCTTTCTTATTTTGCAAGCCTTCTTAATGGTTAGTTATTATTTTAAATGACTGTCTTTCTAATGGCTCCTATACAGGACGTCACGCATGACTCCGTAGACAACATGCCCATACCAGTTTTGGCACATCTTGTTCCGATACTTTACCGAATTTTGCACGTTGCATGAGAGCTTGTGCTTGATCATCCGTCAATCTACTATCAGGATGATCAATATCAACTACAAAACCATCATGATAATGACAGTTACCATAATTTGTTTTTGACGGTATATAATTTTGTAAACATTTAGGGCATTTTCTTGACTTTTCATCATCTCGACGTTTTTCTTCACTGTCTTCCTCTTGTTTCAATTGTGTAGATGTCTTCTTAAACTTAATATCACTGATCAACAAGTCTTTTAAATATTCGTCCTCGACGATAATGACATTCCACTTTTCTTTGACATTAAGAACCTCCTACAAGAATCAAAAAAAGCTTGTGAGCGTAGACCTAAAGGTTTAAAGGTGAAACTACTCTCTGTAAACGAGACTAATTAGGATATTCTAGCTTAATGGCACTCTAGGATTCCGCTCCCGGTCCGAAGGCCGGGTTCAGAGTCCTGGAGGAGGGAGAGAGAAAACACTTTTTAGTGGCCTTTAGACTCCAATTACACTCATCAGATATGGCATTTGACTCTAGGTATACGACAAACTAAACATAAGATTTGGCGTGGTTTGATTCGAACAAACTTGACTCGAAGAATCGTTTGAGTGAAGTGACGACTTGACATCTGTTTTCACTTCCGTGAAATGCTGCTTGAATCCTTCAGTTCACTAGGAAGAATGATCAGGAAGAACTCATTCTAACGAGTCTAAATTAACCTTTGCTAGAGTGCAGAAAAGCATTTTTTTGTGTTTTCGAACCCGACAATCGCTCAGACAACTTTGATCCAAGAGATTAAAACGTCGGAAATTGATTTTTCGATGAAAACGTTCTCTTGAACTAACTTGGAAAAGGTTTCCATCCTCATTAAAAATCGAAAATTAGTCAGAAGTGGTTTTTCCAAGATTTAATTTGAAAGAAAAGCGGTTTTCCGAGTTAGATTCGTCGTGGAGCGGAAGTAGTTAGACCTTTAACACACGAAGAATTTACGCTAACAAACATTTTCGAAAACACTCTTCTTACCTCTCTATTCTCCTGTTCTTCCATCATCATTTTACCACATGTCTCACGAATGATTTGATAGAGTCGTATATTTGAAATAGACTTTGATTTTATTTCTGAATCAGATTTATTCAACATAATAAGAGAATCAATATCATAGACCTTCATCGATCGATTATACTGATCACATTCATCAAAAGTTGTACTCAATAATTCAAATATTTGATTATCCTCATAGGCATTCTGTTTCATAAGGAAGTTTAGATCGATAATTTGAAGAGTATCAATATTACGTGTAGAACAGCCATGTATTAAACGGGGTAAAACGGATAGTTCATTTTTTTCTAGCGCTTTTTCTATTGTTGGTGCATTTTTTAATTCGATAAAAACTCTACGCTGCTTAAGGTCGATTAGAATGCGGCCAGTTGGTAAGAGTTTCATTAATGATAGTGAAAACTTGTCGTTTGCGTCGCTGATATTGAAAAGATTTGAATTCAAACGATAAATTTCCGGTAATGTGCTATTACCAAACCAAACGTTCAAATCACTAGCTGTACTATCAGCAAGTTCCAATAGACGATGATCATTAATCAATGGATTTCGTTCCATTTCAGCAATAACCGATGATTTGAGAGCACTAATACCAGCACCACTAAAATTTGTTGTTATTTTTACCAGGGAATCAAGTCGTTTTGATGTAAATAGTTTTGAATTTTTAACAATCAATGGACTTAACATTTTCTTACGAATTGCTGGTGATGGCCTTCCAACAAAGACTTTCGTTTGCATTCGACGAAGAAATGCTTCATCCATCATATTACGACGATTCGTAGCACCGAAGACAACCAAATTCTGAACGTCTTTAATACCTTCAATATGTGAGAGAAGAACAGAAATACCATCAACTTTTGATTGTTGAGCTTTGCTATCTCGTTTCGGTACGAGGCCATCAATTTCATCAATTGTCAATGCACAGATAAGATAGGGAATTAAATGTGCACGCGACATCATATCAAAGAGAAGTTTTTCTGTTTGTCCAACTAATGGTTTATTAAGTTCACCAGCAGAGAGAGGAGGAGTGATCATTGTGATACCGGCAAAGACAGCAACTTTTTTCAATAATTCCGATTTTCCTAGGAAGACAAAGATATGATTGAGTATAAACCGAAAAATTTAAGGCCCACAAAAGCTTAGTTCTACAGACGCCTTGGCTTTCTCCTTGAAGCAAAGTGCACATACCAGTTCCTGGTGGGCCGTAGAGTAAAAGGCCACGACTAAACTTGACTCTTAACTTTTTATATTGTTCTTCCAAATGTAAACTAAGCATATTTTCTAAATTTTTAATTTCTTCTTCGATCGACGTTGCTTTTGTAACCAAATTTAAATGATTTTCACTGTGTTTCTTGAAGATCTGTTCACGTGCTTCGACTTCTACTGTAGTTTTCTGTTTTTCATCTTCATATTCTCGCTTTAACTCTTCTATTTTTAAATGAGTCGTTAACCATTCGGTGTCTCTTGTTGTTGCCTTCGTACGTAGAACTTTAATTTTTTCATTCATTCCTCTTTCCTTACTTGGTAGATTTTCTTTACGGTCTTTATACAGGTCTACATCCGCTTGTGAAGTTTTCAGAAGCTCTTCACATCGACTGATTTCTTTTTCCAAGTCTACTTTAATTTTTTTTAACGTTGTTAGACTCGTAGTCCACTCTCGCTGTTGTTTCTGTAATGATAATCTATCTTCGAGTCTATTTTCTGAACAGAAAGTACTCAAATAATTCTGAATATTAATGAGGATATTGCCATCATCATCGTATGTCTTTCCTATTTCTTCAACGGCTAACTTAACTGCGTCTCTGGACAGATATGGTAAAAGATCAATCTTCTTTATGACATAGTAGAAATAACGACGAACACGATATATATCTGCTAATAGTGTTGCTTTTGATTCTTCGTACGGGACAGTTGACTGCTGATTGAGAGCATTTGAATCGATTTGCAGGTAATCTCGTAGAAGCTGTTTAAGAACAGAGTTAACCTTAGTTAATTTATCCCAGTTCTCATCTGGCACATTACGCAGATGATCAAGTGTGAGAATGCTTTCAGCTAGAAGTAGGAAATAAGATAAAGAAGGTCAGTATTTTTGAGAGCGAAGAAACATTAGAGTACTCACCTTTCAGATTTTTTAGCCATATAGGTACATATTCCTTTTCATCGTAATTTTTTTGTCGACAAATCAATTCCAGTATGTCTCCTAACATTACTGCACCGATGTCATTAGCAGCTGCTGGCTGGACTGCTGTTGTGTCTGCAGCAGTAGCTACAGTGTCGCTTTCCAGTAACTCTACCTTCTTGACTGTAACGTTTGTACTTGACAATGTCTTCCACACTTTCGGAAACTTGTCTTCCGTTCCATTTTCATACTCGATCTCCAGTAAATTCAGCAAAACATTAAAATTAAATGGAGTAATAAAGGAATCGTTCTTCTGGATGTTGAACATTGGCCGATAGATTTTACGATCAGTTCGTTTACTCATATCAACTGGCTCGTTTAACAGACACAGTGTAAAAAGTTCAAATACAGATAATATTCGGCCGTTTAGTGTCATGTCTGCATTTGGAGCTGATAGATCGTTAATAAAATTGTGAAGTTCTTTATAGTTATATTTAATTTTTACATGAAGAATAATATCGTTTAAACTGACAACTGGCTCAGTCTCTAATGCAGCAGCTGTAGTGATAGGAGCAGATGAGGTAAGAAGTGAAGGCTGGTATGACGGAAAACCATCGTCGTCATCCTCGGAAAGAGACATATTTTCTACGAAAATCTGGAAAATGGAAGTTTGTGTTAAAAAGTGCTTCTGCAGTTTCTTTTTCACAGGAATCTAAAACAGACATTAGGACATTTCTATGAAAACCTAAATCTTGTGATGTACGAAAGTCAGTTGCGCATCTCACCCTTTAGATACTGAGTCAAGCGAATGCATACTCTTGTCTTTTAATGGCAAAAGCTGAAGCCTAAACAAAAACGCGTTGATTAAAAGAAATCTGTCTTGATTAATCATAATTTAAAAACAAAAAGCAGAAGCTCACGCATCTCTAACGTGCATCATCTCGATAATCATTGATATTGAAATTGTTGTTGCTGAGTAGTAGTAAGAGACTGCTCAACTTCTTCAGTCTGCTGCTGCTGCTGTGCTTGATTCCAAATGTGGTCTGGATGTTGTTTTATATCCTTTTCAATCAACTGAAATGATTTTTTGTCTAGCTCTGCACGATTTTTATCTAGTTCTATTAAAATATCTTTTTTCTTTCTGTCATATTCTTCAAGTTTACGAAGAGTTTTCACACGTAAATCTTCATTGTCCATCCGAGTGTTATTTGCCTTCTTAACTTCAGTGGATAGTTGGTGAAATACCGTTTCACAGTCTGTCAATTTCTTTCCGTTCTCTTTCAGCTGAGATTCAAGGTTCTCGACATCACTTCTTGTTGTATTTAAGCGAGTACTTGTCAGGAAACGATCTGAATGAAGATCTTTGATGCTTTCTTTCAAATTATTCGTATGAGTATAACTGTTGTTAATTTGCTCTCGTTTGTTGCGTAGTTGTTTCTCACTGTTTCGAATTTGATTCATAAGCTCACTATCACGTGCATTTAAATTATTTGATTTAGCTTGCAAAAGTCGAATTTGACTATTCAGCTGCTGAACATGCATTCGTGTGTCTTGATATACTTTTTCCTGCTTCTTAATATTTTCTCTACAATGATCACGTTGTTGTTCCATGTTAGCTTTGTCAGCTTGCACGTGCTCAATTCTTTTATTAACAGTATCCAGAACACTGTCATTTGCTGCTGCTTGATGTTTAATATCATTTAGTTTTCCTTCTTGAACGGTAATCTGTTGTTGCAATTCAGCTGCACTTGTAATCAAGGCTTCTCGTAGGGTTTCTTCATTAGCAATTTCTCTTGTTTTCGTTTTTATATCATTATCTTTTTCTCCCATTGATTGTTTTACAAGTTGTACTTTCTGCTTCATATCGTCAACATTTTTCGTCAGTTGTTGTCCTTTGCTGATCTTTCGATCCAGTTCTGTTTGATTCAGGCCGATGTTATCAGTAACTTCTTTAATTGTATATTCTTGTCGTATTAGATCAGTTTCCAGTGTCTTCACTTTAAGAGTCAAGTCACGTTTTTGAGTACCATAATTAGTAACTTCGTGTCGATGTTTCTGTAATTCACCTGTCATATTACTTATGTTCTCTCTGAGACCGATAAGTTTCTTCTCTGTTTTCTTCAAGGCATTCTCCAATCCATTCTTCTTTTCTCGAGCACTTTGATACTGAGTTTTTAAATCGTCAAATTTATATTTACTTTTCAATAACTCAGCTGCTTTCAGAACATAAGTTTGTTCTTGACTATTACGTTCTTCAGTCTTATCGTTTAATTGTCGCACAAGATCAATAGTTTTTTCTTTACAGTTCAAATGTTTTTCTTTACATTCATTGAGCTTATTCTTTTTGGATTCTCTACGTGATTTTGCAGATTCAAGTTCTTGTTGTGTTTTAGCAACCAGTGCCATTTGTGCAGTTTTGACTGATTGACTACCAACGAATGTGATTCCGAGGAAGGTTACGGCGTTGCATGTAGCTAACACTGCTTGCTGTGCCGTTAACCGTTCCTGAACCAGACGAACTTCTTCTTCAGTTGCTTGAACTTCATGTTCAGCATCATTCAGCTGTGTTAGAGCTATTTGTTCTTCACCTTTAGCCTTTTCATGTTGACGATTTATATCACACACTTCTTTTTTTAACTGTCTCAGTAGATTATCAGCTTCTCGATGTTCATTCGCAACTTTTTCCACAATTCTATTTGCATCTTCTTTGCTTTCATTTAAAGTATTACTCAGATTGGTGGCTGCTGCTAAATCAATGTCAAGCTGGTCAGATTGTTTTTGTACTTCATTTGATTCAGAGTTTAGTTTCTCAAGCTTCGATTCACAATCACGAACTTTAGTTTCTGTCGCTTGCAATACAGAAGTTACTGCTGTTAATTCTGTTCTGGAATAATCTAATCGATTAACCGTATCTAGACGTTCATCCTTGTGTAACTGTAATTCTTTTAGAAGATCACGTTTGGCAATTTCTATAGCGATGCGTTCACTTTCAACACGATTCAGTTGTTGTTCAACTTTTACTAAATTTTCTTTTTCATCATTTAATTGTTTGTTTAGGTTTTCTGTGTCATCTCTAAACGGAGATATAACTCCTTTTTATAAACTAGTCACTATTGGTTTAGAGATATGTCATGAAACACGAAGAGATAGCGTAGCTATCCCTCAGACTCCTTGTTTTGTCAACGCGAACTCAACTGTCTCTCTCTTTGAGCTTTATCAAAGTATCGTCGGACTAAAACACATACCTGAGTTGCTCCAGTTCTCGATTCAATTTTGCAATATTTTCTCTATACTTTGCATCTTCTATCTGCATCTGAAGTTGTTTGGCTTCTTTGTCTTGTAAAATTTTTTGAAATCTTTCAATAATAATTTTTAATTGTTGTTGTTGACGTTTCAAATCTTCTTGTTTCAGTTGAAGTTGAAGTTGTTCATCTTTTAAACTCTGAAGTTCTGTTTCATACTCTCTCATTTTTGTTTCAAGACGTTTAATTTCATCTTTAATTTCTGTGATTTTTTCTTCAATTTTCTCTAGATTTTCTTGCTCGTCTTTCAAGTGCTGTTCTTGAACTTCTAATTCTAGACGTGTTTGAATTATTAATTCTTGAAGACCTTTTAATGATAGCTGAAGATAATTTTGTTCTTGGATTCTTTCGTTTTCCTTTCGACTTAGATTGTTTATCTGCTGTTGTAGTTGTTGTGCTTCCATTTCTAACTTTTGTTGTTGATTATTATTTTCACTAATTTTAGTCTCATACTCTTTTACATGCACATCCTGGTTGTACAATTTGGACATAGTTTTATTAATAGTTGTAATTAAATCATTGTGCTGAGTAGAAAGTTGGCTGCGTTCATTTTCTAAAAATTTTAGATTTTGAATTTCTTCTTCCATTTTCAATAGAAGACGATTAGTTTCTTCGTTGATAGCTGCTGTTGTTGTGCTTAAGGTTTTCTTTTCTTTTTGAGTACCTTTCTCTTCTGATCTGACAGCAGCATGTTTTGCAGATAAACGATCATGATCGCGTTCTTTGTCGGCTTCTAGTGTGTTGAATGCTTGTAATACATCTGGTCTCGGACCCCACTCGCTAATTAAATTACTCTGGGAAGTGCTGGTTGTTGTTGTTGCTTGAGCCATTACTTGAATTGCTATTGGATGTCTTTCGAAAATAAAGATACTAAACAGAAAGGACAGAAAAAACTAGTTATCGGGCTACAAACACACATATTCCATATAGCTTTTCAAATGTTTCGATCAAAAAGTTACTTACATTAATGTTCTTCTCAGGCTCAACCTGAAAAAATGTGAAATTCCGAGCGTTACTCAGCTCTGTGACGATTTTTTTGGCAATGTTTGTCACTTCGAAATTTCCTAAGCTTGAATAATATGCACATACCGTCTTAACAACATTATATTTGTTCAACGGCAGCTATGTAGAAAAGAAGAAAAAAAAGAGTACTGGTACTCTGTACGTCATAGAGAGAAAGAATCAACTCTATCCGAGTAAGAGATGATGCAAAAATATTTCCTTTCTTTCTCTTTTTTGCCAAGGTTTTTTTATAAGTCTTACATTCTTATCTGCAACAGAAACAGATCAGAGTATTGTTTGCTTCTTCTGTAATAAAAACTGAAGAACCATACCAGTACGATGAAACTGTTCTTTACGGCTTGGTTTTTTCCAACTATGACACAATAGAGCTGCGACAAATAGCGATTTTCTTCTCTTTTCTTTTCTTATTCACGTTATATATAGTAGAAACGTGACATCACTTTACACAGACAACAGTCTTAATGTATGTTATGCTACGTGAGCACACACTATATATAACGTGAATGAAAATAGAAAAGAAAATAGAAGAGAAAAGAAAATCCTATTTGTCGCAGCTCTAATAAACTGGTAAATTCCTATCACTCAGACACTTATTTAGTTCTTTTATCGACGGTTTTTCGTGTAAGCGTTATTTTTATGCGAGAAGCAGTAGAGATTGAAGAGTTACTCTTAGTCAGAAGAAGTGAGGGAAAGCTCGAGATGCATATTTTTGTTCTAGCAGCAACTGCTAATCTATAGTTCTTCACCTTACATGAGTAGTGTTCATTTTCCGTTATAGCTTGGTAAAAGACTAGTTAACATAAACGTTGATTATCAGACATGGCCGACGATGTGCTACCACCACTTGCAGGAATTGCAAAGGAAATCTGTGACTATTTGAATTTAAACGGTAGTGAACTGAAGGAAGAGATCATTTCAAATTTGTTACTTAATGGACGTCACAAACTATTTGACTATGAAGAATATTTAAAAGAATTAGTACCCGAAATGCTATCAGTTGAAAAAGCCTATTCACCAGGGCAAACCACTGGAACTCATCTATTACGGTTATTGAAGCAGCACGTCGAAGATGAGTGGAGCAGCATGGTAGTGAGTGAAACAACAATTAAATTGTTTTTGGAAAAAGTGAAAAATGTTAACAGTGTGCATTACAACGATGTGTTGACAAGAGTTGCAGAATACGGAGCAAAGTATACTGAATCTTCATCTATACTATCCGTTGTTTTGCAACTTCAATTTGACATTGATGATGAGATTTTAACAACAGAAACCCATTTCAATGATTTGTGGAAGACAGTTATAGAAAAGGGTTTGAAAAGTGCTGAACCATTCAATAACTTTCTAGACTATATTTCTGAAGATGAGTTATGTCAACAAACGAAACCTAATTCAGCGTTATCCACAGCGCTACGTCTGCATTATTACACAGAACTAAGTAAGATATCTTACGATTTGAAGATTCCTGATAAAGAGCAGCTATCTAACTTCGCTGCCGATAAGATTATGAGTGACGGTTGGAACTCCTGTATTAAATCTGTTAAATCAAAAGTAAATAACAGACAGTACAAATCAATGCTACAATTACTTTCAAAGAAATTCGGCCTCTCAGTCGACATTACAGCATCTAGCGATCAATTACCTCCCGTCACAACTTCAGGTAAATGCTTACATTTCAAAATTTTTTCTTGTGCGCCGCTGAGTAATGTTGATCTGACCTCGAAACAGTTAGCAACTAGAACTGTTCTCAGCAGCCAGTGACCGTAGAAGTGTGAAAAACAGAGGAAGAAGAGTTTGATCATAAAATTGGCAACTGCGTTAGATTGTGATATGTTTGTAGAAAAAGCTGGAAATATTCTGCGCGAATCATAGTTGTAACCAGTTCAACCGGACTATTTCGAAGTTTTGGGAAGCCCGATTACACCATAATTTTACTAGTTGGACAACTTAGAAGAAGCGAGAAGTTCTGTTGTAATTTTTGTCGTTTTCCCAAAGATTTCAACTCTCTTTTTCCGAAAAAGACAAACTTCTAATCACGCTTCTTTCATTTTTTCGCCGAAAGCGTTTCAGGAACGATATTGCCTGTACAAGCTGCTGTAATTTGGCCTTTTTTCAACAAGTTCGAAAAGTATTCTGAAGACTAATCGTTTTTTACCGTTTCTTTACCAATCAAAAAACTCTCTCCAGAGGATCAGACCGGTTCAAAATAATAACAAACCGGACTAAACAGGATGGAAAAAGCTCAACCGGTTCTAAGTTGGTCATAAACACGACTTGCATTTAATTTTTTTTCATTCTAGAAGCGGTGCCATCGTCGTCAAATACAACTGCTACAATAGTTCTCCGTGCAGCAAAAGCTGTGGCTGCTGCTACAGATTCACAGTTGAGCGACGACTTTGTATTTTTGGAAGAAAACACTGATAGTACAGCGCCATTAACTCGACAGAGTCAATCACTTGACATTGAGTCACTTCTGTCACCACCAGATACAAACGTAGTTGCTTCACCACCAACAACAAATAACAGTTATATTGCTGAGAATACTGATGTTATATTGCATTGTATTGCTTTAAACTCTTTATCTTTGGAGAATTTAGTTGAAGCTGGTGAGTTATTGTATGCTAATAAAACCCTAAAAGATATAGCACATGAACTTGTTAAACGATTAAGCGATCGGAAAAGTACATTACCGAATTTTATTCAAGAATGTCTAGTACCTATCATGTTTCTACTGAAACGTGAACAAAACCTCGATCATTTTATGAGACTTTTAACATCAACATTCAAGAAAGCAAAACTTAAAACTATTTCAACAACATTTCATCTAAACTTACGTACATTACTGCATGTATTATGTATGAACAGTGATTGGTTTCTGCGTCGCGTAATCACCTCTTTAGTCAATAAACGGAATCCAGTCCCATTTGTTCAACCGAATATCGCTAATTTTTTAAAATCAGCTGCAGGTGATAGATACGAATTTACATCATCGATTATTCACGTTTGGAATCATAAACATCCTACTCTGCTCTCATTCGGCATCGGTACAGATTGTAAAGGCAAATCCTCTCTATTGAACACATTGTTTCTCTGTACATTTGAACAGAGTCTTGATACGTTCTATTTTCAACAAACAATTGACATTGATTTTGCTTATTCATTTCTACCGGAACGACCATTTAACACTGCTGACTGTCACGGTGAACTTACTATTGATTTACTAAATAAAATTCAGTCGTTATTTGACGGTTATCTCATTCACATTAGACAGAGTTATTTAAATAAAAATTCAAAAGTATTGACTGAATATTTGAAACAATTACCGAAAGAGAAGTACTGTTGCATCGTTGTACGTGATATTGTACCGGCGTCAGATACGGATGAGTTAGAACGTGAATATGAAACAATTATTAATTCAGAGTTACAATCGTCAGACAAAAGATTAATATGTCCGTTAATTAATCTGAACATAAACGATACAGAAAGGCAAGATATAGTCGATGATTTGCGTGAAAAGATTCTTGCATCATCCTCGGAACGAATTTCAATGCTTATTCCCAAAGAGCAGCATCAAAGTGACTTACAAAAGCTCTTGAATACCAATTACGTTGATTATCTCAATAAAATGAAAGATATTATCACACCGTTAAAACAATGTATTCTTGACAAAGACCTAGATAATCAGCAGAACCAAAATAATAATATACCGTTATATTTGAAATTTGTAAAACTTTGTAAACTTAGACAACAATTGAGAAAAATCGATTTCTACGGTTCTGGTAGTGGAAAAGTCTTTGTTGTTAGTGCAGAAATACTTACACTAGAGAATGAATCGAATCCAGCACCGGGCAAAGTATTTGAACTATTCTGTGAGATTTTACAGAATGAACACAAGTTAATGAGTCTCAATCTTCTGTCAGCAGAATTAAAACAAGAATTGAAAGGACAAGGTTCTGAAAAGTTAGCTGGTAATTTAACAGTAGCAAATTCATTTCAGTCATTAGAAGTATTGTGGCGTAATGCAATTGTTTGTTACGAAAACACTTCAGTTGAAATTCAAAAGCTGATATTAGAATCTTACCTTCAATATGTCTCTGCTGGTTTTCCATTTGAGTTGATTGATGGTGATCAATTCTATTTTCATTATAAATTTCTCACGAATGTAATGGCACATTTTAGACACAAACGTATACTAGTTATCAGTGTTCTTGGACCACAGAATAGCGGCAAAAGTACACTATTGAATTATATGTTTGGTACACTATTTGAAGTACGTGAAGGTCGCTGCAGTCGTGGTATCTATGGTTCACTTGTAAAATGTAAGAACATTCCTGATATTGACTATATTCTCCTTATAGATACCGAAGGTCTTCTCTCAATTGAAAAGAATGATAGAGAATACGATCTTTGTTTGGTATTATTTTGTTTAGCCGTTTCTCATCTGGTCATCGTAAATATTCTGGGTGATATCAACGAAACAATAAAAGATATGCTAACACTCTGTGCGGATTCATTAAAACAGTTAAACGCTGATACAGTACCAAAACCAGCTATACATTTTATTCTTAATCAAAAAGCTGATCCAAACATTAAAAATCATGAGGAAGCTATAAATATGATAATTACTGATTTAAAGCAGAAAGATTTAGGTGGAATGATCGACATTAGAACTGACACTTTTCATGCTTTGCCGTCTGCCTTTAAGAAAGAACGGTTATCAGATAATACAAATACTCCGTGTTTTCTTCGAACTGAACCGGATTTCATTGAGAAAACACAGGAATTAGTTTCAGAAATTACAGATTCTGCCAAAAAATGTTATGACCGAACTGATATTGCAAATTTAACACCTCCGTAAGTCGTTTGTTTTCTTTTTTTCGTCTCGTTGTTTGAGGAGAATGTGCAATCTACTTCATCCTTTTTATCTGCATCTAATCTATTCGAAAGACGTATCTTGAAATTTCGATCATACTAATTTTTCGGATTCATCGTTTTTACTTCTACTCTTTTAGTCAGTGGATTTCCCGATCGATTACAATATTTGATATCATACAAACAAATCCAGATCTCACATCTTTTAAGAATCTCGATGAAAAACGACTACACGAAAAGATTCAGAAGCAAACGGGTGATCTTGTATTAAAGACGTTTTCATCGGAATATCGATTGAAGCTGATTGAACAGTACGGTAAAGAGCGTGAAGAAGACATAAAGCAATTATTTCAATCAAAATTTCAACAACATCAAGAAGTACTTAGTAAAGAATTAGAAGATATCTTCAATTTTGAATATGCATCAGACCGTATCAGAAAACGCTGTCAAGAATTTTTAGAAAGTCAAATTACTGAAACTAAGAATGCATGGTGTATCGCTACAATTCAAACATCTGATCAAAAGCAAATGGAATTATTTGTTCGTAATGGTGAAGCTGAATTTCGTAATTTAATTGACACTATAATACAGGAGGGAAGAATTATGACAAAAGAGAATGCAACGGCTAATTTCGAAGAAATGTGGCAGAATAAAATTGCATCTATCAAAAGTAAATTTATTCCTGATAAACGTTTGGAGCAGGCAATTAAGTTTGTCTATGGTCATTACTCTATCTTTGAAAGAAAATTTCTACAGTCTGCTCAAAGCATGATCACTACATTACCATTCATCACATCAGTTACAATGTCGCAGCATACAGAGTGGGAAGCATACCGATTTGATTTAAGTAACCATTTTAATAATGAAGTGTTGAAACTAAATGCACACGAACGCCTAAGAGACTTGGAGACATCGCCATCTAAGTTCACTAGTTTATCAGTTGAAAATTTCGTTTATTTGAACAAACAAATATTGGAGGAGAGATACTTCGCTTTATGCGGGAAACATTTGCATTCAACCGAAGCAATCTCAGTTCAAAGTGATGTTACAGATGAGACTGCATCAGATGTTTCTCCTATGATCGTTCGTAATACTATTACGACAACAATGCCAGCTGTTCTACACCACAATACTATCTTGATGCCTGGTTTTCCTGCAACAACTACTTCTTCCAACGAACCAGAAAAGCAATACAATTTAGTTCAAAAGATTAAGAAAGCAAAACTTACTACTAAATTCCAGTCGTCGAAACCTACAGGAAAACTACTTGATATTCGTTTTCGTACAGATATTAAGTCAACGATCAAAGATGAACTAGATAAACATCCCGTTGACGAGAGCAAACATTTTCTCGGTAAGAATATTATTTGAAAGAGTCTATGCTCAACTATTAATACTGATCAAGGATGACGGTGTTATGCATCCTATTGAAAATGATCTCATACAAAAAATTGTTTGTCTAATCAATACAATAACAGATGAAATCAATATTGAACTGTCTGTATTTGAATTATCATTGTCACGACCATTGATTGCACGAATTCACATTAATGTTCTTCAGCTATTAATTGTTTTACATTTCAAAGAGCAACAAGATCATTTTCATAAGCAGTTAGAAATACTCGATAGAGAGAAGACATCAATACTAACTTCATTTATAAGCTGCACAGTACCTGATGTATCGTGCGACAAAGAAAGTGGTGAACTGTTTGTCTCGAAAATATTGGATGCAATTTCTCGTAATCTGACTGATAAGGCACAAATTATTATTGCAAATATACTTCGACAGGAAGAGAAATTAAGTAGAAAAGAATTACAAGTAATATGTGATGGAAAATTACAGCAATCTGATGACGAATGGTTACTGAAATATATTGAGCAGCCTATTGATATAATTGTTGATGAATTTAAAATTCGATGGGAAGCTATTGAACAATTGATTCAACAACAACTGATAAGTGAAAAAAATCTACAAAAACTAATACTTGATCAATTCTTTCATTATATCAGAAGGCTATCAATAGCCTTATACAATGAAGGAAGCGCAGTAAAGTTTATTACCGATATTTTCGAGGCATCTGCTGGAACAGCAGCAGAAAATCTGAAAAATAAAGGACAGTGTATGACTTATCTTCTGTATGCATGGTTCACGAACAAACCAATCCAATTGAATATGCCATTTACCGTATGTAATAGCACCTATAAGTTAACTGCAAAAGGAGTCAACTATTTTCAAAACCTAACGAAACCTCAGTCTGCATTGGCTAACCTGATGGAGTTTGTCTCTAAACTAGATTTAACTTTTTTTGGAAAGAATCAAGTACGAGTTACATCGATTAAAAATTTTTCACTGTTCTTAACAAGTATCACAGACATTGAAAACAGAGCAATGGAACAATATAATTCAATACCAACAACATTTGAAAGTTATGATAAAGATCAATCGTATATTAAACTGCTTGATAAAGCACGAGGGTGCAAAGTAAAATGTAAGTTATTTCTGAGTTTTAATGTTATATACTGTCAAAGGCAAATAATTCAAGAAAAGATTGAAATTCTTTGTGTTTTTCTAGGCCCATGTTGTTCACGTCCTTGTGATGCCGATCATGCTCTGATTCGATCTAGGCCAGGTACGGTATTACTTCAGCAGTTATATTAATTCTTTACTACCTATGCTTCGTCTTCGTACAGGGAGAATAATGTACCGAATCGTTAACATAACTTTTCTCTTTTTTTTCATTTAGGTGCTCAGGATAATAAACATTGCTGTAAGAGCGGACATCAGCTACGTGCATTTGCCGGTATCAGATTTGAACAAACAAATGAAGCAAGTCTCTATCAGTGTAATAAAATTGATGATACTGATCTAATTGTTGTCAAAGGTATTAGAAAAAAATGGAGTGAAATGAAAATAGACTATCAGTCCTAGGACTTTGATCTAGTAACGACAACACCTCATGATGCAGATGCATTGAGAACTAAATTTCTCTTTGTCTGGGGTAAAATTGGTCGAAAGTTTTGTGATAAATTTAAAATGGAATTTATTCATCATAATCGGCCAAGAGTTCGTGGTGAAGCTTATCATTATATTTTATTGTTAGACAGTTCACCTTCTATGAGTGGAGATAGATGGACAAGTTTAATTGCCGGTGTAAAAGCATTAATTAGTGCTCGTATAGCTAGTGGTACAGATGATCGAGTAACAATAATAACCTTTGCTTCGAAAGTCAAACTATTTTGTGTGAATGAGAAAATGAAAGATGTAGATACAACAAAAATTACTCTCTCAGGCTGGGGAACTAATTTTTCTCCAGCATTTCAGTCTGTAATTGATACAATAGAAAATGCAGCAAAAGCAAGAAATAATCTATCGACATCGTCATCGAAGTATATTATTGTATTCATGAGTGATGGTGAAACATCATATCCAGAGACTGAAATTAATGGTTTACAACTTATGAAAGGAGATATTATTAGGGAATTTTGGACAGTAGCTTTGGGTAAAGGGCAAGTGGAAGTCTTAAAACAGATTAATACTAAAATGGGTGGAACTTACAAACAGTTAGACGATCCAACTGAATTAATTCAAGTCTATGCAGAAATCGCACAAGGATAAACAGTATCCTTAATAAAGATTGATTGCCTGTTGTTTTAGTTAGTTTTTCTGTCCTTTGGTTACATACAAAAAAATAAAATTTTATTGAATGCTTCTGCGTTTTGCAAAAGGTATGCGGGCAGTAGAGATCAGATCGGATCTATTAGAAGTAGGCATGCACCAATATTAATTACTATTGAAGATATTGTACAATAATATTGAGTAATATTGAAGCATGAATCTACTACAATACAATACACTGGATTCCCATTTTTTAACCTTAATATCATTTACATTCATACAAACGTGAGGAAGCATATTTCGATCGACCTATGTATCCCAATTGAGATATAAAAATATATCCCGATCGTAATTAGGCATGCACCGATTAATAATCGATGTTATAGCATTCAGCAAAGTCGTTCCGGATCAGTTATAAAAAAGCACTTAGAGCTTAAAGCTGATTTCGAGAAAAAATGTATTTTTGAAGTATTATATATTGATGTAAAAGAATGCAAAGTACCCTATGTTGTAGGCTATGAAATTCTCTACTATCTGAAGAGGTTAAGCTCGATTTTCTAACTTATGTTGAATAGTTATTTTACAATACTACTTTAAGAGAGTGAAGTGGAATAAAGTAATGTTAATCAACGCTAATCAGTCATCAAAAGAAGAAAAGAACGAAAATGTTTAACTTTTCCTTTGTAGAGAATAAAATATCCAGATATTTCTCTTTCTCGTTCAAAAACTAGGTTAAATGTTGGAAGTAATTAATTGTTTTATCAGTCAGCTGATGACCGTAAGCCGAAAAAAAATTGAGGATTCACATACATTTCGAGATGTGCTGTACAAACTGGGAAAGCTTGAGCGAAATCTAAATGCCGGGACCCCCATAAACTAAACGTACAGACAATTTTTTCACTGAATGGTTGAGGAAATAAACTACCATTGTTCTGGCAAGGACATGGATGGTATGCTGGTGTTCCACGACTGGGTGACCGATAGCTTCCTCCAGTAAGTAACTCATCTCGTTTTATATCCTGCAAAGTGCATTTTCCTTTCGTATAGGTCAAATATCCGGAAACCGTCTACAATCCAGAAATATCAAAATATGTTTCTTGCGATATACTTATTCATTTCCTTTTAATTATCCAGTACAGTACGATGTTAAAAAATCGTGGGATAAACAAATACTCGATTACCCTGATTGCATTTATATGAGTGAATTGCATAGGCATTTCACAGGTAGAAATTGATGAACGAAAACGTTTATGTTAATCTGAAAGCTGTACATCTTGATGGTGGCGAGCATATCCAAGATACCAAAGGATAGTAGTTACATGGGCACAAGTGCCTATGGTTCTTAGACCAGACTTATATTGGCAAAGACAGCAAATAATGGGGTCGTTAGGAGCATTGACTCAACAATAGCATAATACATGGTGGACTCACCATGTCGACTATGTATACGACAACGTATCAGATCGTGTTTTTCTGGGAACACATCTATATTGAAGCTACCATCTTCTTCAAGATGACTTTTAGCATAACTAATGCCTTGTTCTATTTGGTACGCGCCGCAGCAATATGATCATAAGTAGTCTTCGGATAAACTGGGAAAAGAGATAGTTTTATCTGATATCGGAATCCATTTTCGACGAAGTGATATTTTATTTTCGCTAAGTTTCTTCGCCAAATCATTTTGCTTCTTTGCTAAACTGAGCATTGCTTGAGCAATGTTCTGGTGATCAGGATTATTAGTATCAAAAATTGTCGGCTTGTATTTGTTTAAACAAGCTGACGAATATATGGAATAAATGTGTTGTTGATTCGATCTGACAAAAAATTCCATTTCTTTAAGGGGCCATGGTAAGATTCCACCACCCACCGACATTTGGTAACAAGTCTAGATTCATTTGCTTCGGTGGTTGAAAGTTGTTTCGCTTGTTTATCAAGAAAAGATGGAAGATGTACATCAAAACCGAGCTGTTTAAAAGCCCCGACTACGTCACGAAAATCACGGTCTACAATCTGGACATCTCCACGTCGACACCATTCCTTTAATTTGGTATAATATTCAAGAATATGTGCTGTTATACTTGTATCATTATCCTTGCCAAAAAATGGTCCAAGGATGTCGAGGACGTATCCATCTGGCAACACTATCTACATGAATTTCAATAAGTGATACTTCTTCTGTCCGGAGTACATATGTCGCTGTAGTTCATGATCGTCACTTTTGTCGAAGTAAAAGTAGATGCCGTCCCAAATGAGACAAATATTATCTCCATAAAATGCTTTTGTATATGCTGTTTGATGACTTAAGGCCATTTCTCTCGTTAAATGTTCGATGCCAAGGTGCTGCGGCACAATGACTTTTTCAAATGCAGCGGCCACTGAATGAAATGAATCAGATACTCTTTTTCGAATATCTTGGTCAGGACAATCAACACGAAATAAAGTACCAATTTGACGAAACGACAAGTTAGTTTTCATTTTAATCCAGAATATACATATAGCATTGAACACGCTACGATGTTTTGATTCATTCATAACAGGCTCAATTATTTCTGCCATGTCTATCAGCTGTTCTTTGGTCCATCCTGTCCAAGAAATGTAGTCTTCTTCTGAAAACCGTGGATCATTCATGTCGAGGAACGGCTGTTGATGGTTTGCCTGAAAGTCAAAATCATATCAAATGCATGATTTCGAAAGAGGCTCATGCAACTATACTTGATTATTCGGACAGCAAATATTTGGCTCTACTGTCGCACACTCACTGAAGTTGGCCCGGACGATCAAGTTTGCTATTGCCTATAATGCACATAACTCACCTTCAAAAATTCTTTTTATTTAGGCTGTAATCCCTTATTTCTTTTTTTTTGTCCTGTACTTACGGAATCAAGCATTCGAAGTAAGTCTTGAACTAAGATAGTAGTCTCTGTGGCTGACAAGTTTGCTGTAAGTGGTGACAAATTCATTTTGTTAACGTCCACAACTGGTTTGAGTTGATCAACAAACAAATGGTTGCTACAGCAACGGACATCTTGCCACACATATATTTTATGACATGAGAGAAGCTGTTGTCGTGCTACGCGTGGCATGACCACCAAACCACGTTCAGAAGATCTGCGGCAAATAACACATATATGATGTGACAAAGAAGCGCGCATTATATTATTTATTATCGATTTATTATTGTTTTCATCTGTATTTAACTGCTCTGTCCCAAATTCTGATTTATTCAACAACTGTATGTGTTCATCATTAGTTGTTTTGGGTAAGTTTTTTATTTCATATTGCAAAGCTAGATGACAATCATTGCATATTTTCATATTATCGGACGTCAAACAGAGTCCATTCTCGACTAAATATTGTGCTTCTAATGGCGATGCTTTTCTCAGCATGGCTTTAGAAAACCATTGCTGGCACTTCCCGCATCTAATGTTTGGCATGTACTGCTTTTATATATATATTCTAATGGTTATAATTAACACTTTTTGTTTGATATGAAGCTTAAAAAATATTTACATAAACAGGAATTCAAGCGTGTATAAAATGATATTCACAAATAAAATAAAATGTCATATATGTTATCAGCTCTTATATCAAAGTAAATATTGCATATAAGACTTCTGTATTAATATTAGCAAATAGGCAGTACGTTTCTTACGAAAAGTATTTAATAAGTGATGTCAAGTTTCCAAATAATAAATGCCAGTACAGATGCGAAAAAGACGTCATTCTCACTAACGTTTTCAGCTTCATATTTCTGAAATTTAATGATTAATGTCTATTATTATTATGTGGTTAGATGAGGAACATAGTATATTATATATGATCAAAATTTCATCTCTTTGTCATCTCTCACTTTTAAGAAATCAATATTTAATCATACTGCAAAGCATCCTTAACATACGCGCTTGATGCGATTTGGAAAAACATTTTTCTCCACGCTCGTCAATTAGAATCTCGAGTTATTTATCACAAATATAATACACCACGAGTACTACCTGGAATCATAATTAGAAATCTGAACTTAGATAATCTGTCCAAGAAAAATCACTCGGGACTACCTGCTCCTAGATCGTCTACTTTATTCGAAAGGTTCAATGCAAAAATCATGGAGTCACCGAACTTGTTGCTGCAATATCTCTGAAAGGACAAAACCTTTTTCAACCAAATTTTTACCACAGAAACTACAATATAAAAGGATGTTTTTGAGAAATTTTGGTGAATGGGTTTTTTCAAATATGCGAGTTATTGAAATTTTAACTTTTTCAAAATTTTTCGATTTTCTCATTTTGAGCTCATGTTTTGTGTTTTTCATGGATAAGCATTGAGCTCATTTTGAATAAATCCACGCTGTTTTGTACACAATTTAATGGAGAATTTATTGGTGAAAACCGTTTGTCAATACCTTTTTTCGTCGTTAAGTTATAACATTTTTAATTGGAATTACTCCATGTTAGAGACCTTGTCGGAAAAAATTGATTCTCTCACCAAAGGCAAGCGACTCTTGAGAATCGAGAACAGATTTCGGATGTGTCCAACAATACTCTACCTATCTATGATAAAATGCTTTTGTGCTCTGTTCTATATTTTCGTTTTAGTCCCGTTCCGTGAAGCTCTGCTGGAGGTAGTCATGATGGCGCCATCAGGCGTCTAACACCCCGTCCCGCCCATGTCATAGTTTGTCACTGTTGGGTGATCGCTCTCCCCCCTAGCGATGCCTCCATTTTTAAACGACCCCTAACATCTTTATTTTATTGAAGAAGATTCGTTAGTCTTCGTTAGAACTCTTGTCGTTGCAAAAATTCAGTCACATCCTAGACTGTGTTATGATAACATGCATGGAGCTGTTGTTTACTCGTTACCAGTAACGAGTAACATAGTTACTATTTGCCAAGTAACTAATCTAGTTATTTTACCGGATAAACTAGCGCCGAGTAACCCGTAAAGTGCCACCACTATATATACATACATTCCTTCTCTCCATGCGTGTTGTCATAACAAAGTCTAGGATGTGAATGAATTTTGACAACAACAAGAGAAGATGCCAAGTCAAACACAAAGTAATCCTTACCAAAATGATACGATATGAAATCATTCTTCCCGTGAATTATTAAAATAATGAAAAAGTGGAATTTTCTGTTGTGGTATAATGATCAAGGATTTTAATGAAATTTTACACAAACACAAACAATGCTGCAAAAATAAACAAAGATAACGTTATATGAATTCATTCTTTCCTTGTTCAATCAAAAAGAGAAGCTTTCTGTTTTCATAATGATCAAGGATGACTTCAATGAAATTTTGTAATAACAAAAGACGTTCTGAACAAACACATTAAGTAATCGTGCGAAAATGAGTAAAGATAATGTTATGATTCTGACTGTCTGAGATTCTGGAATTTTGAAATGCCTGAGATTGAGTAATTCGGAGCTTTTGAAATTCAGGCGATTGAAGGGTTCTAAGGCTCTTGCGATAGTAGAATTTCTGAGTTTGTCAAATTCCGAGATTCTGGAATTCTACAGTGTTCAGATTCAGAAATTCGAGAGTTTCTGAAAACTGGGATTCTGGGATTCTGTAATTTTGAAATTCCTGAGATTCTGTAATGAACAAATAATCATTAATAATGGACTGGCAAGTGATTCATAATGAATTTTCATTTGTTCATATACAGTTGAAGATAACTTTTTTTCATGTACATTGGCTTTACTTTTTGATGACATATAAATCGTAATAGCAGCTGCATAAGCATTCATTAAAAATGGAATAATATGATTCATAAATAACATTACCGTATCTATTCTTTTCCATATTGTTGATGAATAGTCCATAACGCATATAATTTGATTATTGTTTTGTAAATCATATGTTAAATGATGGAAAAATATATCCATAGATGTACTTATAAAAACACATATAATTAACAATAGAAAGAACGTCAATTCTGAAGATACAATTTTTTGTTTTTTAGTAGTAAATAATTTATGACTATTAATCATATTTGCACGAGTTATTGAGAGAAAACCGATAGACCATTTACTTAAATATGTAAACTTTTTAAATAAAAATGTGATTGATTTACATAAAATTATATTTAGTATTGAAGTTTGTGTTAAATTAAGTTGATTTAGAATAAAATAAATAATTTGCATAAGCAAAAGTACAAGTGTCAATTGATTTAAAACACAAATAAGCATAATATACCATGTAATAATTGACCTTTTTATTGTTTTTTGCATCATGTTATACATGAAAAGACATTACTAATCAAAACAAATTGTGACCATAAAACTTACTATCAAAAGATAAATAACTGCTTTCGAAAGTGAATGTTTTATTTCATTTTGTTGTTTGCCATCCATAGCTGCTAAATATGAAATAAGAGAATGTGCGTGAAAGCGAAAAATAACATTTATGTAACATACATGGCACAGTGGGAATTTTTTGCTAGAGCAGGCGGACTTTAGCTTTATGAGTGAACTAAAATTTCATGAACCATTTTCTTATAGGTTTTTCATGATCCTCTTTCTAATGGCATGAGAGTTGGGTTTTGAAAAAGTTTTCTAAGCAGCTTTCCAGAGGTCCGGTCTCTGGAAAACCCTTCAGAAAATTTTCTCAATATTTAAAAACAATGCCACTGGAAAGAGCATTGTCGAAAACCTATAAGAAACATGTTTCGAGTCGTTCAGGTTACTTTATCTTGAAATTCAAATTTTCAGCACGAAATTGTTTGTGTGA